CTATAACTTCAGTTATGTAACATCGCATACTGCTCAACATTGGGCTGAATTCTTCGTAAGGTGCGTCAACACTGCATTGAATATCCTTAAGCAGCCAAAAGATGTTGGAAAAGAATTCAGGGAACAACATATGTTTGTTAGATGCAAATGTAACTTTAGGATTGTCATTTTAGAATGTTCAAATAAAACATAAAAAAATAATAGAGTGCTAAATCTATTAACAATTTATTTCTCAAAATCTTGCAGGAAAGTGTTTGTGTTTGTGTGATTGTAAACCTAAAATGTTATAAAGGATGTTTGAAAAGCATTGCAGAAGTAAAATAAAACCAAGCAACCAAACATTGTAACTTGATAGGGAGTGCATGAAATCATTTTAATTTTCATAAGAGTTTACGGGCTACATACAGGTAATGGATTCTATACTAATGTGTGTGGTTCCAGCAGCTTTGGAGTCTTATACTGGTTGGTTACAGAGGGGAGTCTTCATAGTTCACTTGCATGGATTATGGTTCTTGTTTAATATTAAAGTATCACAAAATATTTTGCTCTAGATTGACGGCAATATTTGTTTGCCTAATCAGATCATCTTTTGAAGGCTCCGGAAAGGGCTTTGGAAAGGGGTCCACTGTGATGTATGTTTGTTTAGTTTGTATGTATATGCTTGAAGAGATTTACATTGAGTATTTGAACGACTCATGGGCTGGCTAGCAACTTGTCAGGCTAGGGTACCCATACTAATACTTTGAACTTTTTTTTGACATTGGGTTTTACTAATACTTTGGGTTTATATTTCCGTGTTTGACATATTTCATCTCAGGAAGGGAGTGGAGGAGGAGGGTTAGTTTTTTGGTGAACTATTGTGTTAATTTATAGTTGTTTGGTAGTATTTTTGCTTTTCTTTTGTTGAAATATGTTTTTAATAAAATACCCTACATATACAAATATAACTACAATAACTTGGTTTACTATCTATAAAAAATTTGATTTATAATGTATAAAAAATGTTGATTTATCATAGATACAAATTCAATCCTATGATTATCAAGACAATTATAAAATATTTCAAAATTATTCACTAAAATATTATAAAAAATGTTACCTATAAAATTAGAATGTTATAAAAAGAATGGTAAAAATTTCAAACATGTTAATAAATTCAATTTTAACATCCATGAAAAATTTTTACCATGTTTTCAAAATATTTATACAAATATTTAAATTATTCCATCGGAATGGTCCCGTAATGAGACTGTAGCCTTACTCAAAAACTAGATATATGATCTTAACGAAAGATTTTTTTTTGCAGCAATAATCTTAACCTTATATCTTTATACAAATACATATATTAAGTAATGAGTATGGTAAGTTTTAAATTATATTTAATCATCAAATCGTAAATCAAAACTATCGGTGAACATGGGAATTCAAAATCGTCCTCAAAACCAAACCGAAATCGCTCTGAACCAACAAATAACCATTGACCATTTGAGTTTCTCCGAACCGAACCATACCGAAAAAATAATTGGTACATACAGTTATGAAAATCAAATTTGTACAGAGGACCGAATCGAACCATCTCATATTGTACTGAACCAAAGAACCTGAATTGAGAACCTAATTACAACATTAGATGTCTGGTGTTCATATATTTTCTGTCAACGTTAATCCTATATAATTTGTGTATTTTTAAAATACTAAGTAACATATAATATGGTAACGTCGAACACTCCGACCGGCTGAAAATTGGTTCGCCTCCTTCCTCCTCGCCGACGTCATCAATATAGACTAATCCAGTCGTGCCACGTGTCCTTCCGCACATGGGGTAAAGATTCATCTGAAATCTCCTCGAAGGCTCTTGTACGTCAACTGTGTCTAGATCGATCCTTGGGCTCCTCACAGTCTGTGAAGTGGTAGATCAGATGACCACTTTGCTCGATAGGTCGATCTTCGACTAGATCCTCCATGGACTTGTGACCGGCCTATTCCCCTTGTACTGGATTTTATACATTATTTCTCAATTTTCACAAAATAATAAAGTAACAAACATATGGTGCATAGGATAACACAATATATTAAGATACAACATGTGCATTATAATAATATTTTTATTTATTTCACTGTGATTCATGTAATTTGTTGCAAATATTTAAAACTTATTTTTATGTTTTGACTTAAATTCACATGTGCCTACCTATATGTGTTATTCAAGTGGAGTTTCAAACCTATGGTTTTGCTCATTTGATACACAAACGAAAATCTGAGGTCGTCTTCCGCTCGTACAAATTCGGTTAGCCTCGTTCAATAAACTTTAAAATCTAAACCAAAACCCAAAATTATATATGAATTGGTGTACTCAATTTGATAATAAATTGGGTTAGTTATTCAACTAGGCTTGTTTATGCATACAATTGTATTACTAGATATATAAAGAAAAAACAAAATCTGGCTACGACGCTATGCTACTGAATGTGGGTGTGCTATGCGAGATTTATTAGTGTATATTTAAAATACATAAATTCTGTTGGTAGACTGCCTATCTTTTGAAAAAGGCATATTTATACCATTGAATGATATAATTTTATTTAAATTATATTTTTATGTATGATATTTGAGTTTTAAAACATCTGCATTTGTTTATCAAAATGCATTTAAAAGTTTGTATCATTTTGGAATACATCGTCATTCATTTGTATGAGCATTTTTCATTAAAGTTTTCAAAATAAATAAATAAATAAATAAATAACTAATAAACTAATTGATATATATGTTAAATGATATGTTGTAAACTAATTTTGAGTTAATATATAGTTCCTGAATGAAAACTAGCTAATATACAAAATTATTTGATAAAACTTCAAATTGTCAATAGATTTACTTGAAATGCTAAGTAATAGGGTTGAACATGAAACTCGGAGAATTTCAAATCATTCCTTAAACCAAATCGAGTTCACTCTAAACTGAAAATAATCGTTGATTGTTTGACTTTTTCCGAAAAATAATTGTTGACCATTTGTTTTTATTCGAACCGACTGAAAAGAATAACTGGTACGATTCTGTAGATTTCACAAATATTTGTACCTAGACCGAACATAACCATCTCATACTGTACCGAATTAAAGTAATTTTTTTACGGCATGTTTACTACTATAATATTAAAAAAAAAATTATGGGAAGCTTTGTCTTGTTTGGTTCTTTGCACATTATGTTTTTCTATCAGTCGAAGGATTAGAACATGCCATGTCAAGCGGTTATCGATCGATCGGTGACTCGGCAAACAAAGAGGTGCCGAGGTGTGCAAAGTTTGTTTTATCCATTATTCATCCCATCTAAATGATTTTTTTTGTTAAATTTATTTTTCATAAAAGATTATATTTTTTAATTGCAATAATTATTCATCAAATAGCTAAATCTATTTAATAAATAATTAATTATAGACATAAATTATTTATCACTGAAAAATAAATAACTTGTACTTGTTTGGTGAATAAGATTAGTAAAAGAAATAAAACATATTATTGTTCAAAGTTAGTAAAAGAGATTTCCGTTTGAAATTTACTTTGATCTCAAAATCGCAGCCGCACTTATTCGTTTTTGTCTTTCTGAAATTTCCGTCTATGCCACTGTAGCGTTCGCCTCTATGGCACTTCAAAAGCCTGACCGTTTTCTCTTTGTGGCTCGAAATTACTAATAGAAAATCATTCAACATTGTCTGGTGTTTTGCAACTTCAATATCGTCTTGAACACTATTAAATAATGTACGGGTATCGAAACTGAGACTGTAATCAACACCATCTCCTCCAAAATTTTCCCATGACTCCTGCTATATAGTACAATATTTATATTTTTAGAACATGTTAAATTATAATCTATTCATTCTAATGTATAAGATAATTAATTCTAACATGTAACATAATAATTTGTAACTCATAACATGATATTATCTAACGTCCAATACACAATAATTTGTAACTCCTAACACGATAATATCTAACGTCCAATTTATAATATAATCAACTACAATATGTAACATAATAATTTGTAACTCCTAACACGATACTATCTAACGCCAATTTATAACATAACCATGACTAACATGTAATATAATAATTTCTAACTCGTAACACGATAATATCTAACGTCCAATTTATAGCATAATCAACATGTAACATAATAATTTGTAATTCCTAACACGATAATATCTAACGTCCAATTTGTAGCATAATCAAGTCTAAAATGTAACATAATAATTTATAATATAATAATCAAGTCCAATTTATAACATAATTATTTCAAATATATAACATAATAATTTAAAAAAAAAAAATTGTCCGGTCGAACCGGACGGACCGGTTCTGACCGGCCGTCCGGCCGGACAGCTTTTAAAGCGTTCGGCCGGCCGATTCGGACAGAGCGGGTTCAAATCCCTCTCGGGATTCAAGATCAGAGCCCATCCGACCGGCGGAATCCGGACGGCTTAAAAGCCGTCCGGTTCCGGCGGTCGGACGGGCTAAAAGCCGTTCGATTTCGCCGGCCGGACACAAGAATTTTCGTACCTTGGAATTTGGCGACGTTTCACCGTACACTTTCCTTTGAGATGTTTAGAAAAAATGAAAAGGGCAATATTGTCGAAGGAGCGGTAAATATTACTGCCCATTTTAAAATTTTGGTACCTCAACATTATGCAGACCGCAGAGTGGCATTTTAGTTTTTACTACTAAAACTGAAATTGAAAATTTTAAATTGAGGTATTTTGTTAGTAAAATTTAACCTGATATATTTTTACTGTATCCAGATTTATGACTATAATTGAAATACCTTTTTGTCATACATTCTTGGCCTTGGCGAGCACGCAGTGGTAGTTGTACTTTACCGCACTTGATGGACAAGTAATTACTCCTATATACCAACAAACCGTATCACACTATTCAACTCATATATAAACTCACAATGATTTATAACTTACACTGAAACTTATAATACTCACTTCAAACCCGAAAACAATGCAGATCTTCGTGAAAACTTTGACAGGGAAAACCGTAACACTCGAGGTTGAATCGAGTGACTCCATTGACAACATCAAGGCTAAAATTCACGACAAGGAAGGTAATTAAACAAATTAATCTGTATTTTATTTCTTTTTATTAAATTAAATTGCTACTGCTTATTTTTATCTGGTAACTTGATCAAAATATCAAAGATAAGAACCCTTCAGTTTGATTTTTTGTGATATTCCAATTTTCGCGTGCTTAGGAATCCCAGTGGGTCAACAGCGTTTGATTTTCGCCGGAAAACAGCTTGATGATGGCCGGAATCTTGCTGATTACAGTATTCAGAAAGGTTCCATCCTTCTTTCTATCTTCTTATTATTTTTTGGGTCATGGTAAAGTTTCTGATTTTATTATTGCTGGAAAATTGGCATATAAAATGTTACAATATTCATAAAGCTTTCTTTTTCTAGCATTATGATTTTGGTAGATTTATTAATATAAACTAATTAAGAATAATAATATTGCAGAGTCTACTTTGCATTTGGTTCTGCGGCTGAGGGGCGGTTACAATCTTTATAAATATGACCCATCTCTTAGGAAGTTGGCTCAAAAATACATTCTCCACAAGCAAATTTGCCGCAAGTGAGTTTATAATTTCCCTAATTTTGATTTTTTATTACTATTATGAGAGTTCAATTTATTTAGCCCCTTCGCGCAGCTGTTTTGTGTTTTTTAATGTTTTTATGTAATGACAAATACATATTTTTTGGTCAAAATTTGAAATCATCAGATGCTATGCCCGGCTACCCCCTCGGGCCACCAATTGCAGGAAGAAAAAATGTGGGCACAGTAATCAGGTATTTTTAGTTTAATCTAAGGATGTAATATTTTTTTCTTTCTAATATATATTATGCATCACACAGTTTTAATAATTCGATTTTAGGCTTGTGAAAATCTTATCCTTTGTTTTGGTGCAGCTGAGACCAAAGTCGACCCAGAGCTGCTATATAGGGTGGTTTAATCGCAATGGACTATAATTAATTTAGTTTTTGTGCCTTTTTTTTTATGTTTTTCTTTTAAATACTGGTTTGAAGTTTGAAGTTTCTTACGGTTCCACTCTTGAGCAATGCTGTTATGTATAAAGTTTAGAATCGTCTATAATTCCAATATTCATTAGTAATGTTATTGTGAGGGGCGGAGGCAGGATTGAATGTCACAAAAAATTATTGTCAAAATTTTTTTTAAATATATAATAATACATAAACAAGGTACCTTTTCCAATGCATTTTTTAAAAGCGTGTAGTCGTTATAATTTTCTCCAACAACTTTTTCATCCTGAATGAAATAAAAACGTAAATAAAATAAATATTAGACACATTATTCAAGTTTAATGATAAAATTGAACTCTTCTTAAATAAAAATATAAAAAAAAAAAAAAATTGCATATATTGTAAATAAAAATATAAAAAAAAATATTGCATATATTGTACCATAATACTAAAGTTGTGATCTAAGATCCTTTGGAGCATAATGTTTACAATTATAGAATCAATTAAAATAACACCGTGCATTTGGCCGAATATATTTTAACAAAATTTAAAAAACAAATCATAAAAATGTAACTAAAATATAAAATGAGAAGAAAAACTAAATTATAAAATGAAAAGAAAACATCCAAGGTTAAAATGTTATATGTAATACCAGTAATATGGTAGAAACTATTTTTTAAAATGTATAAATTTACAATTTTATATTGAGTCGTGTTTATGTAAAAATATAAAGATATTGTTAAATAGATAGAAACAACAGACATATATAATTCCGTGTATAATTATTTTTTTATAATCGATAATAGTTTATTTTTTTAGTATTAACGAATTTAAATATTATTTAATATTAAATATAATCAAATTTACATCACCTATGCACGGGTAAAAGAGTAGTAATTTAACTAAAGAGATGTTTTCTTCTAACTAGGCAAATAAATAGTTATGACAAAAAAAATTCACGACAAGGAAGGTAAACAAATTAATTTCCATATATATATAATGTTTTTTCTTTCTAATATAATGCATCACACAATTTTAATAATTTGATTTTAGGCTTATGAAAATATTATCCTTTGTTTTGGTGCAGCTGAGACCAAAGTCGACCAAGTGCTGCTATGCAGGGTGGTTTAATCGCAATATTTGGCTATAATGAGTTTAGCTATTTCCCCTTGGTGAGTGGAGGACCCGATGCCAGCGAGGAAGCCAACTGGCCGGTTCCCCTCTCGGAAGATGTGCGAGATCCGGGAGCGAATCGACTGAAGGGTGGCTTTGATACGCATGAGAGAGTGTTGGATCTGTCATGTGCCCTGATGGCCAGATGACAAAAGAGTGATGACAGCTGCAGCGTCCAACTCTATCCAAATGTGAGATGAGATCGAGGCGGTAATCTGAATACCGATCTGAAGCGCCTGAACCTCCGCGTCATAGCTCGAGGAGGCCCGAAGAGGAGCATGAAACGCGGCGATAAGGGCGCCGCTATGATTCCTAATCAGGCGGCCCCCACCTCCTGCAACTCCAGTAAGTCGATCAAAGGCTCAATCAGTGTGTAGCTTAACCCAAAGCGACTCGGGTTTCAGCCAAACAACAACTCTGAGACATGGATGCTGGACAGGCTCCATCAGTGTTTAGTACTATTGAATTTAAATATTAATACTTAGTATAATCAAATTTACACCACTCGTGCACGAGTAAAAGAGTATTAATTTTATTAAAGAGATATTTTCAAACTAGGCAAATAAATAGTGTGGACGAACATTGGGTTTCGTGGGAGGCCGAAACTTTAATTTTAAAATTTTGCTACCTCAACATATTATGCAAACGGCAATGTGGCATATTACTACTAAAACTAAAATTGAAATATTTTTACTGGAGAAATTGAAATTGAAATTGAAATATTTTGTTACTAAAATGTAACTTGATATATTATTACTGTCCAAAATTTATTACTATAATTGAAACTCTTTTTTGTCTTACATTCTTGACCTGGGCGAGCACGCAGTGGTAGTTGGGCAAGTATATACCAAAAAACCGTGTATCACACTCTTCAACTCATATATAAACTCACAATGATTTATAAAATATAACTTGCACTGAAACTTGTACCGCTCACTTCAAACCCGAAAAAAAAAATAAAAAAAATGCAGATCTTCGTGAAAACTTTGACAGGGAAAACCGTAACACTCGAGGTTGAATCGAGTGACTCCATTGACAACATCAAGGCTAAAATTCACGACAAGGAAGGTAATTAAACAAATTAATCTGTATTTTATTTATCTTTTTATTAAATTAAATTGCTACTGCTTATATTTTATTTTAGTAACTTGATCAAACTGTCAAAGATAAGAACCCTGCAGTGTGATTTTTTGTGATATTCCAATTTTTGCGTTGATTTAGGAATCCCAGTGGATCAACAACGTTTGATTTTCTCCGGAAAACAGCTTGATGGTGGCCGGAATCTTGCTGATTACAACATTCAGAAAGGTTCCATCTAATTCTTTCTATCTTTTTATTAATTAATTTTTGGGCATGGTAAAGTTTTACTTTCTATCTTGTTTTCTTTCTTTTTTTTTTTTTTTATAAAGTTTCTGATTGTATAATATATCGGAATTGGCGTACAGTGGATTAGCAAGGTACCAAAAGTTGAGTTAGTTTTGTTATTCCGATTATGTATGATATCTAATTAACTTTGAACCATAAATAAATTTTAAACATGTTATGATACAATCGGTTTTAAGCTCATCCCCATGATTAATATCCCATAAGGTTTAACATGTATTGCGAGTTGTTAGTACACTGTAATATTTAACTTTTGATATATTCTTGATTTTTGTATCTATTAAGACGATATTGATATTTACTACTAAAATATTTCTTGGTATTGAGAAATCCATCAAATTTCCAATCGCAGAGTCTACTTTGCATTTGGTTATGAGGCTTAGGGGTGGTCACAATTATGCCTACATATATGACCTATCTCTTAGTGCATTGGCTAAGAAATACAAGCTTGACAAGCTAATTTGCCGAAAGTGAGTTTCAATTAATGTTGAATAATAATGAGGGGTTTTGCATTGAGTTGTAAAAATATCCATATCTACTCTTTTATCCAAAATAAGTATTTATTTTTCCCTTAAGAGTATGAGGGTACTTTATATTACGATCTCATGTTATGAATTTGTGATCAGATGCTATGCTCGTCTGCACCCTCGTGCTACCAATTGTAGGAAGAAAAAATGTGGACATAGCAACCAGGTGATTATTTATTCTTCATATATATATATTATTATTCCGATGCGTGACTACCAAAGTCGAAGCAAAGCGTGCACATACCGTATTAAATAGGGTTTAGATCGATTTCCGCTTGTCACATATTTCAATACCATTTTTATTTTATGCTCGGCTCAGTCTCACTCGTTACTTTTGGCTCATTTCATGTAATCACGTTCAAATATTAAGAAAATTGTTCATCTTTTAATAAATCTAATGTAGTTTTTCATATTGTAACACCACATATATAGTATCAATTTATATATGCTATATATAACTCTCATGTAACATTATACCAACAATATGTATCAATTTCTTGTAAATAAATAGTGTGGACGAACATTGGCTTTCGTGGGAGGCAGAAACTTTAATTTTAATATTTTGCTACCTCAACATATTATGCAGACGGCAATGTGGCATATTACTACTAAAACTAAAATTGAAATATTTTTACTGGAGAAATGGAAATTGAAATATATCTATATCTATATTACTATATATCTATAATTGCTTGCAGATCATTTAATAAAACCTATCTAATAAAACTTCATAATTTTTCTCTCAAAAACCGTTACAAACTTTATCCTCTATATCTCTCTCTCTCTATATAATTACTAACAAAAACTTTAATAGAATTATTTGTTGTTTACCGTCTTTTTACGTTACAATCCAATACTATTATTATTACTATTATTATTATTATTATTATTATTATTATTATTATTATTATTATTATTATTATTAATCCACCATATCTAATTAATGCTAAAATATTTCATTGCATTTTTTTTAGGGTTAAATAGAACAAAAATCGTTACAGAGTATACTAATTGAGTAATAATTATATGACTTTTTTGTATCATATAATAGTTATTTTAAAAACTAATAACTATATTTTACACCAAATGATATATGAAAGTTACATAAAATATAAAAAAATTATTGTAAACCTTTTGCCCAAGTTATTTATTCTCAAATTCGTATTTTATTTTATTTTATCTTATTTAGAGATTATATTTTTAAATAAATTAACTTATTTTAATGTTATAGTAAAATTCCTTAAAATCACATAATCAAATGTTATAATAAATTTAACATTTTTCAGCTAATTAATTTGTGATCTCTCAAATTACATTGTTTATTATATTTTATCTAAGTAATGTAGTGGTTCATATTTCATATGCAATCAAATATAATGTATTATTTATTTTAATCAATGATCAAATTTTAAAACATAATACCATTATCTAACTTATAATTTTAATATTGTATGCATAAATATAACTTATAATACTCTATTTACACTGTACAAATGCACATGATCGAGTACTAGTTTTGTTACTAAAATGTAGCTTGATATATTTTTACTGTCCAAAATTTATTACTACAATTGAAATTCTTTTTGGTCATACATTCTTGACCTTGGCGAGCACGCAGTGGTAGTTGTACTCTACACGCTCTTGATGGGCAAGTAATTACCGTGTATCACACTCTTCAACTCATATATAAACTCACAATAACTTACACTGAAACTTAAACCGATCACTTCAAATAAAAAAAATGCAGATCTTCGTGAAAACTTTGACAGGGAAAACCGTAACACTCGAGGTTGAATCGAGTGACTCCATTGACAACATCAAGGCTAAAATTCACGACAAGGAAGGTAAAAAATATTAATCTGTATTTTATTTACTTTTATTGAATTAAATTGCTATTGCTTATATTTTATCTGCTAACTTGATCAAACTGTCAAAGATAAATTAAGAACACTGCAGTGTGATTTTTTTGTGATATTCCAATTCTCGTGTGCTCAGGAATCCCAGTGGGTCAGCAGCGTTTGATTTTCGCCGGAAAACAGCTTGATGGTGGCCGGAATCTTGCTGATTACACCATTCAGAAAGGTTTTATCTAATTCTTTCTATCTTTTTATTATTTTTTGGTCCTGGTAAAGTTTTGATCACACATTGTTGACCTTTTTATGCTACAATCGGTTACTATCCCATAAGATTAACATGTACTGCGAGTTGTTGATACACTGTAATTAGTTATTGATATTATTGATTTTTGTATCTATTATGATATTGATATTTTTCTTCAATATTTTTTGGTATTGAGAAATCCAAGTATCAAATTGCAGAGTCTACTTTGCATTTGGTTCTGAGGCTAAGGGGCGGTGGCCGCGGCAGGTTTTTCAGTGAATATTATAGATACGACCCATATCTTAGGAAGTTGGCTGAAAAATACGTTCTCAACAAGCAAATTTGTCGCAAGTGAGTTTAAAAATTCCATTCTGAGATTTTTTAAACTGAATTGTAGTTGCTGCTTTGTATTTTAACTTTTGTAATTAATTACAACAACTTAATGTTTTCAACTTTTCAAATCATCAGATGCTATGCCAAGCTGCCCCTTCGGGCTACAAATTGTAGGAAGAAAAAATGTGGGCACAGCAATCAGGTATTTTTAATTTAATCTCTATATAATATTTTTCTCTTTCTATTATTATGCATCACAAAATTTTAATATTTTGATTTAGGCTTATGAAAATCTTAATTTTTTACTTTTTTGGTGCAGCTGAGACCAAAGTCGACCAATATAACTTTTAGTTTACAGTGATTGCAACTCGCGCGCTTGACTTATGACTCTGCTTTGTAGGAGGGATATTTTTTGTATAGAGTTAGTGATTCCACTAGTCATTTATGCTTTCCAACATTCCATTATTGTTATTTTATTTTTGGTACAAATTAAATTTTGGAGTGGTTTTCTAATTTATGGGCACTGAATTCTTTAGTTTTTAGATGAGCTTATCATTCCAAGTTCCAACTAGTAATCTTGAACTCGATTATATTAACACGCACAAATAAAAAATTATAAGCTGCATAATTGTATTGTATTTTAAGTTTTTGAAGAGTTCTTTAATTTTAATTATATATTTTCAAAACTATTGATATAGCACATAAGAGTAGTTCGGTAAAACCGGACAAAATATACTAACTCAGTCTATGTACCAGAGTTAGCTGGAATGATGGGTTTGAGGTCAGCTCATATTAATAGCTCGGACCTCTGAGTAGCTAGGCTAGGGGCAGGACATGAGAATATGGAGGGCTCGGCACATTAGTAGCTCGGCCCTGTAAATTAAGGCATTAATAGCTCGGCTTTGTAAGAGCAATAGTAGCTTGGCCTTGTAAGAGCATTAGTAGCTCGTCATAGAATAGCTCGAACCTCTGAGTAGCTAGGCTAGGGGCAAGGTATGGAGGATGGAGAGCTCGACACATTAGTAGCTCGGCCCAATAAGAGCATTAGTAGCTCGTCACTGGAGTAGCTTGGTTTGATAAATAGCTAGGCTTAAGAGTTCACTAGTACGTACCCCGTGAGATGCAGGGGAGAGCGATATTAAATGAATTATTTTCGCAGGTTCTATACGTTTAAGTCTGAGAAGGGTTATCATCCATTTTCCACCTCTTTTAATCACCGTTAAGTCTAAAAAAATAGGGTTGTAATCTATTTTTCACATCTTTTAATCAGCGTTGTTTTATTAGTCAGAACATTAAACCTGAGCATGTTAGGGCTAACTTATAAAATAATTAATATATTATCTCACTAACACATTTATACTAATATAAATTTAATTTTATTATATATATTTATTCCTTGATATAAGAAACAATAACAATTTTACTTATTCTTGTTCACTATATAATAGTTAATTATTATTTTACTAAAAACTCTGTTGCCATATAATGTCATTATTATTTATAAAGTTATAGAAGTTGCACGTTTTCTTGTTCTATTTATTTTATGTAATGAAATATACTTAATGCACGTTGGTATTATTTGTATAAGTAATCAATTTAAAATATGTAAATAAATTTAAAATTAAATAGTGTATAAATAATGTACAAAATATACACATATATTTTTTTAGAATTTAGTTTTGTGTACTAATTAAACAATTTTGATTTAAGAAAAGTCATGAACTCAATCTCTTCTAATATCAATAATTTTCTAATTTGCATTATAATGATTATTCTTATTATATATATAGATTAGAATTTTTGCGACACCAACCAAACTAAATATCACAACAACCAAGTAACAATTATGAAAAACCCATAACACAACAAATATCAATTAAATTTGGTAATAGAAAAATTACATACATATATATAAAAATATGAGGATTCTATATTTCTATTAATTGATGTATACAACACGTGTATATTTTGTTAAGGTATATTTTCATAGCATGATAACAATCAGTCTTAAAAAATCGAAAATCTTATTAAAATGTCATATTTTTCTGTTAAATAAAAAGTTTCCATAAAAAATAATTATATCATAGCAAATTCATTGTGTAATTGAACAAATTTCTATAATGAAGCTCGATTTTCTGTACAAAAATAAAGCAACAACTTCCGCATTTTAAGGAAGCGAAAATTACACTTTGCCTACCGAACAATCCGCGTTTTTACACTTTGCCCACTCAACTTTTTCTGGTGACACTTTACCCCTTTAACTTCACATATTCTTGCACTTAACGACTTCCAGCCACCGGAGATGCAAAATCAAGGGCAAAGTGTAAAAACGCGAATAGTTCGATAGGCAAAGTGTACTCGTGAAGACTAATTTGAGGTGCTAAGGTATAAATGACGATTTTGCCCTTAATTTTGCATCTCCGGTGCCGGAAGTCGTTAAGTGCAAGAATACGTGAAGTTCAAGGGGTAAAGTGTCACCGGAAAAAGTTGAGTGGGCAAAAGTGTAAAAACGCGGATAATTCGGTAGGCAAAGTGTAATTTTCTCTTTAACGAAATCAATTAATGTTGGTCCGTTTTTGCTAAAAAAATAATAAATAAATAAATTGTAATTAATGGAAAGTAATTAATGATGAGAGAATTTGACCTTATAGTTGACCTGCCATTTTTTAAAAATGGTAATTCTTATTATATATATATATATATATATATATATATATTATATATATAAAGAGGTTGTTGGAAAAATACATTAATAGAAAGTTTGACCAAATAAATATGATGTTTGACTTACTATTAATGGAAAGTTCAAAAAAATAGATATGAATCTATAGTAACAAAATCTGAATCCTATTTTTTTGGCAACAAATTTGGAGATTCTTATGAAAAAATTTGAATTCCATTTTTTTCGTATCATATTTTATTTTTTTACCAAAATTTAAATCATATCTTTTTTTGTAACAATTTGGAGATTCTTATGCAAAAAATGTGTCAATTATTTATGAAAACAATTCTAAATACAAATTAATTTAAAAACCTTGCAAATTTGGTACAAATTTAAGAAATAAATAGTTGTATAATTCTTAACAAATTCTTCCAATATTATTGAATATTTTTTTCTTTCAAAAAAAGTGTGTAAATTGGATAACACCACGTGCAATTTTTATTTTAAAATAAAACTGATATTTGGACGGGATGTACATTCAAAATTGTGTCCACGTTTTTTGGTAACAAAAGCGGTTCATCTTTGATATTTATAGCCACCTTATCCAATTATTTAGGAAAAATTGTGTGCGACTTTTCAAAATTTGAAGGCATCGATTTTTTTGAATTCTTATGTTTTTTCTTAACCATGTTTTACCGAGATTTTGGTAAGTTCATATCATTTTTTTTCTTGGTTAAGTTCATATCATTTTCTTTAAGAAAGAGACAGTTGCATAAACATTAACAAATTATTTCAATCTTTTATTAGAATTATTTTCAATTCAATTTGTTTGGTAAGAAAATTGGTGCAATGTTAGGAAATTTCGGTTGCAATTTTAGGAAAAATTGATGATTTTTTTATTTGGTTTAAAAAAATATTCGGATCAATTAGTTTGATAAAAAAATCAGTTTATTGGTAGAAAAATCGATTTCATTTTCAGGAGTAACTAATGATGTTTTTAATTTTTCTTAATTGAAATTTAGAATTAGATTTAAAATAAATAATAGGTGAAAATCCCTAAAAAAATTTACTTTTTTTTCTACTTCAATTTTGTTCAATAAATAAGATCCTTTAGATTTTTTAAAATTTATTAACTAATAACTAATAATATGCAATTTTGGATAAATTCGAACACCTATGTAATCCTTTACGTGCTAAAAAATCAAATCAATAATGTTGTACATAAGGAAGTGTTTAATAACATATAAATTTTATTTTCATGAAATTTTTAATGGCATGAGACAATTTAAATACAAAAATATCTTTAAAAAATATATATATATAATGAATGCCCCCGTGCATCGCACGGGCACCATACTAGTATAGATAAAAAATCAGCTAAATAAAATATTAATACCGAAATAGTAATGGTATTTAATGCAGTTGACTTTTCTGGATACTAAATGTAGTAAATAGGATCCCATTTTATATAAGTATAGATTGTTATAGTAAAACTCATGAATTAGGATAAAAAAGGAATAAATGATCTGACGGACGATGAACAAAGCGTACGGGGGAAGCTAATAACTCCATATAAATAGGTAAATTAGGGAAGAAGATAAGGTTAATCACACTCTAAAACTCTAAAACACTACATACAGTTACATACAACTTTCCATAACCCTTTATTGACTTGAGCATCGGAGGTTTAATGCCGGGAGCACCTCCCGACGTCTTTGCAGGTCTCTGGAAAACAAGCGGTTGAAGATCAGTGGAAAACCGATTCGAGGTGCGAGAGCACATCAACTATGATGAGGATATTTGATAAGACATTTCAATACTTTGAGGAGTTCTTTGATTTCAAATAGTTTAAAAACTATGATGGTTGGACAAGTTTTTAAAATTAGTCCCGAAATCATCATGTTTGGAGGTATATTTTGCAAGATATACAGAAAATAAGGATTAATTCAATATTCTAAAGAATATCAACTCACACAATCTATATCTATTATCCAAATCCAATAAAAAGTTGAGTAATTTTGCTTTAATACTAGACGAGAAAATTCTTAAAAAAAATCCTTTCTCTATTTTTAGTTGTCTGCATTTGATAATCATGCTTTTTCTTTCCTTTTTTTCTTTTTTTTTTTTTTTCCTAATNTTCACTATCCATATATTTTTTCCTTGTAAAAACTGAATACTCGGCCAATTAACTTGCTGCAAAGGGGGCAAGAAGCCGCACCGTGGGGAATGACAAGGCGGAGTTTGCCTCCTTTCTGTTTGTCTTTTCCTTTTATTTGTATCATATATATTAATTAGTCATCTTTTAACTTTTCAGCAACCGTATTATATATATAAAATCATGATATATTATTTTTTCTATATACATACTACAAGCTTTAAGTAGTATTTATTCAAAGATGTGCAAGTCTAATGTTATTTCATATAAATAAATAATAATAAAAGTATTAAATATGATTTATCTACAATTATCTAGCTTAAGATAAATTAAAACAATACTTTTAATATATTTGTCCCAGACATATTTAACTAATTTTATTAAAAACTTAAATTTAAAAATAAATGTAGAAAATTAATTTGAACATCAAGTGAATGTCATTAACGCATAAAGTTAACGAGAAGTTATGTGAATTATTTTACTCATATAGAAAAAACTAAAACGTCCACAATCATTATCACACGTGGACTAATTAAAAATTAAAGCGCTTCCCAAATTTATGATCTCAATTAAAATTTTAAATTAACAATAATTATTTTATTTAACTTTCTTTATTATCTACATTTTGATAAAATAAAGGAAAAAATATTATTCTATTGGTTATTAATTTATAGCATATATATTACATAACAGGGGAACATTAAATTATAAATATTCTAAGGTAGTGTCTCAATATAATGGGTCATTTAAAAATCCCAAATTGAATTCCTGCATCAATATGAGCATTGAAGAAATAGAGACTGACGCAAATTTTTCTAATGTCCAACATAATTATCCAAATTGAAAATCTTAGTCCCGTATTCTTGGCGTATAGTTGATTGGTAAGGTACCAAAAGTTAAGTTATAAGTGATGTTATTCTGATTTTGTAAGATATCTAATTATCTTTGAACCGGAAATTGTTGACATATGCTAGTTGTTAGTACATTGTAGTTAATTTTTGATATTATTGATCTTTGTACCTATTAAGACGATAATATTGATATTTACTTTAATATTTCTTGGTATTGAGAAATCCATATTTCAAATTGCAGAGTCTACTTTGCATTTGGTTTTGAAGCTGAGGGGCGGCGGTGGCATTTATTATAAATATTCCCCATCTCACATGAAGTTGGCTCATAAATATATTCTCAACAAGCAAATTTGCCGCAAGTGAGTTTAAAATTTCCATTATGAGATTTTTTGAATTGAACTGTAGCTGCTGCTTTGTGTAATAATTAATAACAAATACATATTTTTGTCAACTTTTGAAACCATCAGATGCTATGCCAGGCTGCCCCCTCGGGCTACCAATTGTAGGAAGAAAAAATGTGGGCACAGCAATCAGGTATTTTTAGTTTAATTGGATGTAATATTTTTTTTTCTTTCTAACATGTCACACAGTTTAACTATTTTGATTTTAGGCTTATGAAAATCTTNAGTCGACCGTGAGCTATAGAATATAACTATTCAATTATTTTTTATTTATTTATTTTTGTAATTCTTATGCACTTAAGAAGTTTATGAGTCCGCTGTTTAGGAGTGCTATCTTCTGTATAAAGTTTGTGATTCCACTAGTCAACCAAAAAAATTATTTTTTTCATAAGTTATAACTGTTGAACTTAAATTATAAATACATGAAATTTCATATATATATTCTTTTAGTTTTTTAGAAGTTTGAGGGTGAAATTCCAAGTTTATAAAAACTTGATGAAACACATTTCGATATTTATATTTATTGTAAATACATTTTTATATGAAATGAGTGTTTCGACTTAACTTAAAGTTTGTTATTTAACATTTAAAATCGAGCCCTCTAAAAAAAATTTCTAGATCCGTCACTGATAAGAATATATCAAATCGATAATTTTCGGTGCTAAAAATAACCAAGCAGCACCCACACTGAGTTGGACAATTCAACTTAATTTTTCAAATTCTACTCGATTTCTATACACTTGCATTTATTATGATTCAATTTATGCTGAAACACACCAAAACTAAAGGAGTGTATTCGTTTGGAATTTCTAATTTTTTTAAGATTTTACTTTTTAAATTTTTTTAAAGACTTTTAAAAGTCTTGAGGTATTCATTTGAGATATTAAAAAGTATTACAAACAGTATTTAACTAATTTGAGACAATAATTTGTTAAAACTTTTAAAAATTTGATGCAATTTAAAAGATATCATTTACGAGATCACGTTATAAATCTCGCACCAAATTTTAAAAAGACTCATAATTTCACTTAAAATCCCGAACAAGTACACCCCCATAAAACCAAACTTATAGATAGAAAATCAAACAGCACAAAATCTTTAAAAAGAAAAACAAATAGAACCAAAAATTTCTAAACAAACATAGCCTAAACACACTGCGGCTAACGGCCTAATTTTTTGGTTCCGAGTTGTTGTTTTCACCCTTAATATGTATCAAATTTCAGTGGTTTGAAAAATTATAAATTATCATAAAAAAAGTGAATTTTACTCGATGATGTAAGTTGAGCGATTTTGCTATAAAGCCATCGGATGGCAGTTTTAATCGATAATCTCGTGCCGATAAGGAATATATCCAAATATTCTTCAAACCAACGAAACCCTCCCAAAATGAAATTTACTTTAGTGACTTAAGTTTACAAGAATAATATTTCTAATAGATTATCTCCAACTGGTAAAAGATATACACAGAAGATATAACTTTCCAAAGGCAGGAAAACAGAATAGAAAATCAAAGTATTT